ATGTTCTACGCCAAACTAGCGTCTGTGTCAGACAGGTGCCCCCGGCGAGATATTCGTGTTGTCCTGGGTGACTTCAATGCGGTATCTGGCTGTGATCGAGCTGGCTATGAGATGTCTGTCGGTCCCCATGATTCGGGAGCTGATACCGGCAGCGAGTATAGCCTCCTTTTTCGGGACTGCTAGGTCCCAGAAATTGAGGATTTCTGGCTCCTGGTACCAGCGCTCAGACCCACATCGCTGGACATGGTACAGCGATGCAGGTAATGCAGCCAAGGAGATCGACCACATACTCGTTAGCACTCGTTGGAGGATCCTCCAGAATTGCAGGGTGTATAGGAGTGCCGAGTTCTATGGTACTGACCATAGATTAGTTGTGGCTACCCTCTGAGTCCATTTCAAAACCCCCCAGCAGACCAATTATCACCCCAGGGTGTTTCACTTGGACAGGCTGAGGGAGGGGGAATGTGCCCGGGGGTTTGCTGAGGCAGTCTCTGGTCGTTTCACAGCACTCGAAAATCTGACGGACCCTGTACTTCTGTGGGACACCTTCAAACGTGAAACGCTTGATGCAGCCCAAGAGACGATTGGTGAACGCCCGAAAGCAAGGCGAAATTTCATCTCACAGGAGACACTGGATGCCACAGATGCTTGTCATGCGGCTCGTCTGGCAGGGGATCGAGATTTGGCCCATTCTCAGGTGCACAGAACTCGGTCTTTGTTAAGAAGGGACAAGGAACAGTTTATTAGGAATCTTGCTGAGGAGGTAGAAGGCCATTTCTTAGTAAATGACCTTCGTCCTGCATACCAAGCCCTGAGAAAGCTGAACTCCAAGCCCTCTTCACAGGTGACAGCAGTTCGCTCAGTAAGTGATCAGATCGTCTCAGATCCTGTTACGGTGCGGGAACGTTGGGCTGAGTATTTTGAGCAGTTGTATCAGGTTGACCCACCAACAGTTAACTTGGATGCGGGTAGTGCCGAGAGATTCTGCCGGACCACCCATCAGTGAGGATGCCCCTCCCTAAACTGAAGTTAGGGGCGATCTCCAAGCTGAAGAGTGGTAAAGCAGCTGGTATATGCGGCGTCCCAGCTGAACTGTTAAAGGCTGATGGTGAACCCATGGCACGAGGGTTGCATGCCATCCTGGCTGCCATCTGGCGGTCTGGTACCGTTCCCCCTGACCTGTTGAGGGGTGTGGTCATCCCTCTCTGGAAGGGGAAGGGGGACCGATGGGACTGCAGCAACCACCGAGGCATCACACTGCTCAGTATACCAGGCAAGGTTCTTGCCCACATCCTTCTGAGACGTATCAGAGACCACCTACTGAGGCATCAGAGACTGGAGCAATCTGGATTCACTCCTGGTAAGTCCACAATAGACCGTATCCTAGCGCTTCGAGTCATTGTAGAGCGTCGTCGTGAGTTCGGGCGTGGGCTGCTTGCAGCCTACATCGACCTCAAGAAGGCATTCGACATGGTGCATCGGGAATCACTCTGGGAGATCTTGAAACTGAGAGGAATTCCAATAAGGATTATTGGACTAATAGCAAGTCTGTATACTGGTACTGAAAGTGCTGTAAAGTGTGGTGGGGGCCTGTCAAGCTTCTTTCCTGTTAGTTATGGAGTGAGGCAAGGCTGTGTCCTTGCACCAACGCTTTTCAACACTTGCATGGACTGGATAATGGGCAGAGCTACTATTCAAAGCCATTGTGGAGCAACTCTGGGCAATATCAAGGTTACCGACCTTGACTTTGCTGATGATGTTGCCATTCTATCTGAGTCTTTGGAATCCTAAGTGGTGGCTCTCGATGCATTTAGTAATGAAGCGAAGCCCTTGGGTCTAGAGGTCTCCTGGACTAAGACCAAGATCCAGGACTTTGGGGACATATTTGGAGAACCTGTTCAGTCGGTACGTGCTTGCGGCGAGGACATTGAAGTCACAGAGAGCTTTACATACTTTGGTAGTGTAGTTCATAACTATGGGCTGTCAGACCATGAAGTCAGTAGACGGATTGGCCTGGCAGCAGGGGTCATGAACTCTCTTGACAAGAGTATTTGGAGATGCCGGTATCTGTGCAGAAGGACCAAGCTTCGTGTCTTCAAGGCCCTGATAGTCCCAGTTTTGCTATATGGTAGTGAAACCTGGACACTATCCTGCGCCTTGGAGTCTTGACTTGATACTTTCTGTAATAGGTCTATGCATCGGATCATGGGGTACTGTTGGTGGGACCATGTGTCCAACCAACGGCTGCACCGTGAGACTGGCACAGGACCTATTATCTGCACACTCCGGCTTTACGGCCACCTGGCTCGCTTCCCCCAGGATGATCCCGCCCACCAGGTTGTCTCGGTTCGTGACAACCCTGGGTGGAGGAGACCTGTGGGTCAACCTAGGAAGTCGTGGCTTGGGCTGATCGATCAAACCTGTCGTGAGGAGCTTGAGATGGGCCAAGTCCCTGCCTGGCGACTTGCCATGAGGGACCCTCGCAGGTGCAAGCAAAGGGTGGATGCAGCTAACGCCGACGGGGGCGCATATATATACATACATATATATGCATATATATACATATATACATATATACATACATACATATACATACATACATATATATACATACATATATACATATATATATATATGTATATGTATATATGTATATGTACATATATTTATTTGTTAGTGTGATTAAAGTTTTTTTTTTTTTTTTTTTTTTTTTTAAATTGTTCGCATTCTAGACGATTCGTGTACGTTGTCCCCATGGTGGTCTGTGCGAAGTGAGGATGTATAACAGTTTTCCTGATTACTTCTTACGGCTGGCAGTGGTACCATTAACCAATCAACATTTAGGACGAGCAGTGAGCTCATTTTTTAACGTTAACGGTTGGATATGACATTACCGAAAACGCCCAAATGGTACATTCCATTGCATAGAACAATGGGCAAGGCATCTAACCAGTTTTGGGTGCGATACATTATAGCTATACAAAGTCTATGAAACCCAAATAGCACAGCTATTTCTTGCATTAATCTACTTTCAAACTGCTCCTTTATCAGTGACAACATAGGCAGTAATTCGAATTTCGTAATCCAGTAATTGAAAAAGGTACTAACAGTACTTGCAGATACATCAATCATAGGAATAATTTCATACAACTTATTAGTGCGGTCAAAATGTACCTCATTGATGTGTGTAAACGCTCTCATCAGGGGTTACTGATGGTAGTGGACAAAATTCAGATCTACTGGATGGGAGTACTAAATGCATAACTTCTGATTTTGTGTCTCATTACTTCATTCCCTTGACAATTTTGATGCTCTCTAGACCAAATTCGTATTAACATCCATACATGGCCTAAAATACATTGACTTCATTAGCATATTTTCCCCCTACATGTATATTTCAGTGTTTCTGAGGTAGACCTGAACTTCGATTATCACAAAACGTGTTGTGATTGTCTCCATGCATACAGACTCGGTCGATCTTGTGCATATCAATTACTATGGGAGTCGTCCTACATCTAAGACAAAAGGGATTTAAGTACGAGATCTATTGTTGATGTCTAGAGTATTAAGTTCTCCAAGCTTGGGTGTTGTGGATGGAGTCACCAATTGTTGAGGTAGGCTTGGTTGAAACACTGTTTCTTTAATTGCTAAATTTTTTGCTGTTGATCTACATCTTACTTCTTCTGATTTACATCTCAAACATAAGGTTTGTGTGCATACATCTGAGAAAGCAATTATAGTTAACGTTAGTAATAATATCCTGTGATATCACTACCATGTTACATTGTGCAAGTAAGAGCTATGAGGGGACCTGCTTGATCACACATCAATTTTTCACAGTAGTTCCAGTCTATGAAAGAGAACGGGAGATTATAGCAGGCTAGCTAAAATATGCCGATATAGAGCAAATTGTGTTTAACGTTACAGTATCATTTCGCAACCTTTTTTGCTTTTGTGTTGAGGCTTACCGAGTAGAATATAGGCCTACAGATAAATTATCTCTAAATATCACATTCACGCAAATTGCCCCAGGCGTTCTCATTGCAAGTAAATTCCTTCCGTACAGAATACTTTGGACTCTAAATACGATCATTAGGCCTGTATCTAGGGCTGTTCAGACTAAATACGGTCATTAGGCCTGTATTTAGGGCTCAAAGTAATTTGCTTTCAAGTAATGTACTTGTGGTGAAATGGTCAAAGCAAATTGCAAGAATGTGCAGTTTAGAATGTTATAAACTAACAAGAAATTTTCTCTTTATAATGCGAAGGCTGCATAAATATACTTGTTACATATGTTTACAAGGGTACAAATATTCAATGTGTCACTTAGAACTACGGGCGTTATCTTTTTCCCAAACATAGGACGTCACGAAATTGGGAGAGTGACGTTGATTGGCCAGCGGGTATGCCGCTGCCAGGCGCAAAAGGTGCGGTGAAACTGTCCTACACCTCAGTCTATGTACAGCATTGTGGGGATCACATTCAGAACATGTATGTAATCTCTCTCACTCGCCAATATAAATATTACCACAACCCCACCTCTGCTCCCGTCCCTCTCCTCCCCCCCCCCTCCCCTCTCACGGCAATATAAATAGATATGACCACATAATCCCCCCCTCCCCCCCCCCTCTCTCTCTCTCTCTCTCTCTCTCTCTCTCTCTCTCTCTGCTCTCTCTCTCTCTCTCTCTCTCTCTCTCTATCTTCTTGATTCATTCATTAGTTGCCTGTTATAGTGAACATAGAGCAATAATAGTACAATTGTCCAAATATATCAAGGGATTACAAGCAATACATTTCGACTCTAGATAAACTTTTAATATGGGTCCTTTTGATTATTGTATCAGTAAACTTTCCTTCACTGGGTTTGTAGCTAGCAAATAATAGACCAATTCCTCGAATTTCTCTTAACCTTGGGACAAAAGAAAAAAAGAAGTGAAAAAATGTTTTTTTTTTTTTTGTAGACGCAATAAGGAAAAACATAATCAGTTCCTTCTTTTCAGACTGTATCGTGTCGTATTGTTACAGCGACTGATTTTGAATAAAAAAAAAGTGCAGCAAGTTCTTAAATGAAATCTGCAAAGGTAAGCACCATTTTGAAAATAAGAAAAGAAAATGTCACGTGGTAACTATTACTTTAGTGCACACTATGTTAAAAGGAAGAGCAAGCGGGCATATGTGTCTGTGTTTGTTGCATAAATTATCCATACAGAGACACATACAGTTATTCGCACACAAACTATAGTGAGTCAAGGTTCACGATGGAGGAAACTGGCAACTCATCTCAGACTTTGGAGTATTTCGATTCTCCAAGTCTCTTTTAAATTATAATATAAGGATGTTGAAGGGCAGAGCATTTCACCAAAATAAGTTAGAATGCTTATATTAAAGTTAAAAAATGCAGTGTATTTAATCACAATTATTATTATAGCAGTTATTTTTTTCTGCAAAAGAAACAACGATCCACTGTAGGTTGCCAACTTTCCCTTTGTTTGATATTAGAGGCAAACGCAAGGTAGGGTACACACACACACACACACACACACACACACACACACACACACACACACACACACACACACACACACACACACACACATACACACACACATACACACACATACACACATACACACACATACACACACCATACACACACACACACACACACACACACACACACACATATATATATATATATATATATATATATATATATATATATATGAACCGTATTCATGTTGACAAATGTGGAAAGGTATGAATTGTGATATTCGTTCTCATTCATATCTACACACACACACACACACACACACACACACACACACACACACACACACATATTATATATATAATATTATATATATATATATATATATATATATATATATATAAATTTTGCTGCCCTTTGTCGCGAGTTTGTTTGACTTTAGATCCATTTATCATTATGAATAATTACATTGCTAACAGAGAGTATTTATTACAGAATCCCATATAATGAGCATCAACTCAAAAAAATCATGTCAGCATAGACCCGATGATTGGTGAATAGCTT